TGGCCTGGATTTTGTCCCTGTAAAGTAACCAATGGACAGCAGTGAATATCAATAAAAGATTAATCTATAGTAACCTAATTAGTAAATTTTATGAAACTTAAATAAAGACTCTAAAATCCTTTTATAGATACTAATTTTGAATATTAATAGTTGTTAATTGCGCAATCTTAATTAATGGGAATTTTAAATACTTAAAATTCATTCTATACAGATATATTCTTAAAAATAATTTCAGAGATGTTGTATAAATAAAAGTAGCGATGATTAAAAGTATTTAATATTTATAAATTCTAAATTAAAATATTAGAACAACTAAGTATAAAAGAGTAATCTTGGATAGGGTTATTATTATCTTAAAAAGCTATATTCGTTAATTCTATTTTTGTTGCTTTTATTTGGTTTAAATCAATAATTAATACTTAAAAATTTTGGAAGATATTGAAAGATATAACAAAACCATCCAATTTTACTTCATATTAATCATTAATCGAGTATTACTTCTCAAACAAAATTGAGTATTTAAATACATTTTTTCTGAACAATAAGTGAAAGCAAAAGAGATCTTTATTAAATTTTATCAGCTGTGAATTTAAAATCTCGTTTTCAATCATTTAAAGAGATTCGATATATATCATATTGTTATCATAATTTTATAAAATTGAACAATTAGAAATTATTGAATTCTTTATTATGACATCCTTTATTCTTATTTTAGACTATTCTTTGATTAGTTTGATATTAAATAATATAAAATTATTTAATTAACATCCTTCAATCAAAAGGTTTTCAATTATAATATGTTTATTTGAAGTAGTATTAAAATTGAACAAAACTGTATTGCTCATACTGCAATCCATCAAAAAAAAAGACTCTATCAAAATATCTTCATTTTATGTACTTCTAATCTATCTAAAATATAAATTAATTATTAATATTAGCATTTTAAATTGACACATTATAAATTTTAAAAATCCGATAAGAATTCTTAGAGATCCCAAATTCAATTGGTTTTATTTTATTTGAATAGAAGCTGCAATTTAGTATTTAATAATCTATTTCTTCTTAATTATTATAAAACTCTATATAAAGATTATTCTCTATATTTACAAACAAATTACTTAATACTATTGAATTAAAATTTTGAATACTATAGTATGAAAATATTGATAGATCACCTTATAATCTTAGTTTAAGTAGTTGGATTGAAAATACTTTTGTTTAAAATGAATTGATAATTTTTAGATAACTAGATTCACAATAATCCTCTCTGAACAATGTTACCGTCAAAATGAATTGCTGCAGACCAATTTCATCAAAATAAGAGAAGTCAAAATTATTCTCAAAGAAATTTTGACTCATAGGTCTAAGCTCATCTTCATAAATGCCAATATTACATAGCCTTAGAACCTCTTATTATCATAAATAATACTGAATATTCAAAGGCAGTTTAACTTGGATCATAAATATATTTAGCAATTTATAGAATTTGGTCAATTTCAACATTTGAATTTGAGATGCTTTTTATACACTAGGTAGTATATTAAGTATTCATTTCGTTAATTTTGTAGTAAGGATTTATGCTCTAAAATATTAATCTCAAATACCATAATGCTATCATTAGATCTTAATTAGCATACTAAACAAAATGAAGGACAAATTATGCATTCTCCATTTTCTTAAACTCTATAGGGTTCTTAGTAAGGGTTTAAGGAACATAAATCACAAGTAAAACTGGCTGTACTATATTGCTTCTGACATTTCTAACAATCTTAATCACAATATTTTGCACAGTTATTATTAAATAATTAATATCCTTCAAAACATTCAACTACTATAATCGTATAAATACTAATATTTATAGGAATAATTAATTTTTGTAAATCTT